TGCCAGATAAAACTTTGTAGCTTTGCGTGACATTTATAACTTTGCCAGCAAAGCGCCAAACGCAAAAGGTATGCCACAATGAACGCCAAGAAAACAATTTTGTACCGCTTTTTTACTAGTCAAAGTTGCTGTGGATTTCATATATTTTGCTTTAAAATTATCAGCAATGTAATTAAGTTTTATGTTTCTGCATGAAAACTCGAATTTGGACGAAACAAAATAAATATTAAACTGGCTGATTGTCAAAGCGCGCAAAAAGATGGGAGTTGGCCATCTTTTCGCTTCGCGCTGCAGCTTCGACGATTTATGTGGCATGCTTTGTGCATTTTCATACACTTCATCTTATCTGTCAAAGCGAATCTGTCACGTAAAGCGAAGCAAAAGTTTTATGTGGCATCAGCTTTATTCGTTCGTTCATGCTGCTCAGGATCAGCAGTATACATTTCAGTGTTCCTTACAGAATTTTACGGCATGCTGACTTATTTAAAGACGCTATTAGCAAAACTCTTTATACTAAAAATGCTCCCTTAAATAGAACTTTGCTAGAAATCAAAACGATTTCTAGTCCTCTAAACCTTGAACTCTCTATGCCGGACAGTATTTACCGAAATCGGCTTGACTCTTATTTAAATAATTTCTATGATATTTTATAGGTAATTTTTTCTAATATGTGCAGTCTTTAAGAACATCCTGTTGATAGCCTTCAAATAAATAATAAATAAATAATAATTTTGTCTACGTTCCTATTTCTGAATATCTAAGTAACTTGCTGTTTCATTCCACTCAGTTGTTTGCCCAAGGCTTTCCCAGTTAAAGCCAATACCCATTTCAAAATATTCTAGCTGATTCTAGCTGTAATAGAAAATGCAAATTTTTTTAACTTTCGGGGCATCTACTCCTTTTTTGAGTTGGTTGGTCCGAGCCCTGGTCAAAACACACGTCATGAAATTAAACAAAAGAAAGTCGTGCAACGAAAAACAAACATTTTACGTGGAGGTGAGTGCGATACATTTTATCCAATTTCTAATTTATTAGAAAAGTGAGTCGTTAGATCTCATATCTTTACCAGCTGAAAGATGCCATTGAGTGAAACAGTACTAGCAAGGAAACCTAACGACCGCAGGAGGTGCGTGAAATGAAAGCTTATTTTCGATTTAGTAACCCTCGGCAGCTAGAATACCAGTAATATTAAAACAAAAAACAACGATACTTTTGCGATGGATACTGTGCAAACAACAGCCGCTCGGTCTTCTTCTCGAAGGTTAAGCAACGGCAAGTCCTATGCATCGCCCACTTTTAATACTGATCCTACAACCGCCAAGCAACATGGAAGTCGAGCAAATGCTGCAGCTATAAACAGCGAAGCGCTAATGCAGCTACAAGAACAGCAGCGCCTGGTGCGTGCCTCCCTGCTATCCACCAGTTTCGTTAATCTGTGCATCTTCATAGCGGGCTCAAGTGTGGCTTTCATCCTCTATGAGTTTCTGCATTTCAGTCCGTATAGCACGCTACTACGCCATGCCACCAAGCAGCTGCAGCACTTACCTGGTGAGCATTTCCTGCAGACGCGCGATGATTTTGCAATTTATGCAGCGCCAGCAAAGGGCGCGCTAGATTTGGAAGCGTTTAAAGCAATGCAAGGTAGTTTAAAAGAGGAAGTGTCCGCTCATGATTCTGCGACCAATGCAAAAGAGGCGCTCGACTCGCTAAAATTGGCCACAGAAATGCGCGCGCTTGGTAAGGATGATAAAGCGCAACGATTATACGAGCATGCTTTCGCGCTGGCGCCAAAGCATCCTGAGGTGTTGCTTCGCTACGGAGAGTATTTGGAGCATAATCAGCGCGATATTGTGCTTGCAGATCAGTATTACTTTCAGGTTGGTTAAAAGTTAAAAGATGTTTTTACTAAAAATATGTTAATGGAGTTGATTTAACGTCGTAGGCTCTGATGCTCAATCCCGCAAACACAGAGGCTGTAGCAAATCGTCAGCGCACCGCCGCCATTGTACAATCAATTGACGAACGGAAGCTAGAAGTGCTGGACTTAAAGCGTGACGCGCTTTCAGCGGTGCACGAATCAAATTCGGCACTACGGCGCGCTAAGAAAGAGGCTTATTTCCAACATATCTACCACTCCGTAGGCATTGAGGGCAATACCATGACGTTGGCGCAAACGCGTTCTATTTTAGAGACACGGATGGCTGTCGATGGCAAGTCGATAGATGAGCACAACGAAATTCTTGGTTTAGATTTGGCTATGAAATACATTAACGCGAGTTTGGTAAATAAGTAAGTAATGCTATTTCAAAAGATTTGCAGTTGCGGAAGTTATAAAAATGTTTATTTGATTTGCAACTTAGAATTGAAATTACCTTGAAAGATATTTTGGAAATACACAGACGTGTGCTGGGTCATGTTGATCCCATAGAGGGTGGAGAATTTCGACGCACACAAGTTTATGTGGGGGGTCACGTGCCACCTGGTCCCGGTGATTTGGCTGTACTCATGCAACGTTTTGAGATTTGGTTGAATGCAGAGCATACGGTTTCTCTGCATCCAGTAAAGTAAGTGTAGTATACAATATTAAAAAATGTTTAATACATAATAAATTTTGCTTGCAGACATGCCGCCTTGGCACACTACAAACTGGTGCACATACACCCCTTTATTGATGGCAACGGACGTACTTCGCGTTTGCTTATGAATGCGTTATTGATGCGCGCTGGGTATCCGCCCATAATAATACCAAAGCAACAGAGGTAAGTAATAACATGTTAGTTATGGAATATGTATTACAAATTTAATTTATAACAGGCACAAATACTATCAATTTCTACAGCTGGCAAATGAGGGCGACATACGTCCCTTTGTGCGCTTCATAGCCGATTGCACAGAGAAAACTCTGGATCTATATCTTTGGGCAACAAGTGATTTGCCACAGCAGATACCAATGCTAGCGCAAACAGAGAATGAGTTGGCAAGTGTGGATAAGTTAGTGACGGCCACAATGACTGACTCAACCGCAGCAGAGAAAGCAACCACAGCGCCGGTAGATATATTTGAATCTGGCTCGGGGGAAATTCCTTAACATTTTATGAAAATTTTGATATTATTGTATGCCATAGAATTTAACAGTGAAACGAGAGTCGTAGACGTCATAACTTAAATGTAAGCTAGATATGGGCTAAAAAGTAGTGCGGGTGGTAAGCGAAAAAGAATCAAAAATTTACATTATGCTAGGGTTATTAAAAAATTATTTTTTTATGCGCTGATTATTGTACTTTTTTATATGTGTATGTAAATATGCAACACTTGACTGTGATCCATTGGAAGTGTAAAAGGGTTTAGTTAAAAACTTGACATAGATTTCACTCCGTATACGCGGCATGCTGCTGAGGAAATGCATAAAATCTTTGTACGTCAAATCGAAACTTCCGAATTTGTTAGAAAAATCTAAAGTTTTTTGTTCTGTGGTGTAAATTAATATAAATGCAGAAATAATTTCAAATTATAATTATTAATAATGCCAAAAAGCTACATTTATAAAAAGGGCACTGCCAAATTGTAAACGATAACCAAATAACAATTTGACTTAAAGTAATAATTTATTACAATGTATAACATATTTTTAACTACAATTTTACGCAACAAAAATATCACTTCTCTAAGCAAAACACGATGTAGCTACATTCGTAAAAATTATTGAGTCGATCATAAAGCACAAATTGATTAAAAAAAATATATACAAATTCACTGCGATGTTTGCATTTCAGGCTTTATGTAACCAAATCATTTGCGTATTGGTTACATTTCATATACATAAAAATTTATGTACCGTGGAATTAATTTTTTACGTTTGTATAAAATTTATTGAAGGCCTAGCAGTTGGTTACTTAAATTGTAATATAATTTTATGTATATACATACATAGATACAAACATGAAGGCCACAGCTAAATTATTGTATTGCAATAAAAAATTTCTTGTATAAACATTGTATATTAAACAACCCATGTTCGCTAAGCTTATGGGCAAAACCTAAGTGGCGCGATCTATAATTTTGCCTTCTGTAAATATTCTTTGTAGGTGACATCTCGCCACCACACGGGTCGCTCAAATACTCCCGGCGCTTGCACAATGGACCGCTGCAAATGCTGGTAAATCTGTGTAAGAATAGCAAAATAATTAAATTCTAATATAACTCTGCTTTCAGCCAAAACCGGCTTAAAAACTTACATTGCCATCGCTCATGCCAAGCGGCGAATTGAGTATGAAGTCTGTGGGCGCGATTGCATCGACCAGCGATATCGCTTCATTCTTCAGTACTGGCAGCAAATCTAAAATTCCTTGTTGATAATGTTCTGCCTGCGTATTATCGCGGAAATAGCCACCTTGATAGTATATGCCGATGTGTTGTGTGACCAAATGTGCGCCGTAGAAGGACAAGAGTTGCGTGAGCACCTTTTTCTCATTCGACGGCGGTAAATCGTTTACGAAGCGATGGAAAACAAAGTAAATTGTGCGCTAAAGTAAGAAGGAAATTAAATTTCTATTAAACCAGCTATATGTATTTAGGTGCATACGAAGGATGCATAAGTACCTGTGCATAGACAACGGATAGCTGTTGTGCATAAAAAACTTGTATATTGTTGCGTGTTTCGAATGCATTTTGACCTTGTTTTTTCAAGCTTTCAAACCGACGCACAGTGGCGTCCAACTGGTAGGCAACCAACCAGTTCAACGTCTTCAGCAGATCTACGTAAAGCACGCGAAATATGGATTAGAAAAAATAATTTCGAAAATCCCATTCACTCACTATCCGGATGGAGCGCTTCTGTAGCGCCAAGCGCCTCCGCCTTTGTGCCCAAAATCGCATCCATATCCTTCAAGAAGACTGCAGAACCCATTGGCGAATCACGCTCGAAATTCGCGCTGCTACGTCGCAGGCTTATCAGCCAATTTGATGCTTGTTGTATAAGCGTATTGTTCTCACCCTCATATGTGCAATTGGCGTCATTGTCATTCCGCAGATCACCCAAGCCGGCCACTTTCAAGTAGCCATGACCACCGCATGCTTCACGGCATTCTTGTATACCGTCACGTGCCGCCCAAGTGCAGATCGGTTTTGCTGCCGACGAGATAGCATGTATTTCCATGCCCTTTTCAGATGTGTCCTCACCCAAGATAGTGCGGAATGTCAAATCTACGTTGGCGGTGCCGATCCACATGGTAAATATTCTCAACGCATAAGCGGTCGCCAAATGCGGCAGTAGTCGATATTGTTGCGACTGGTATTCTATCACAGGCCATTCCTCATTGCTGTCATCGGGACCAAATTGCTGGCGGCATGCGGAGTAGCGTGTGGCGATTGTGATGGCCTTGCTGAGCGCAACATAAGCCAACGAACATATATTCACGCGTCCAGCCGAAAGTGAACCCAAAGAGGCGCCCAAACGCTTGCGACTATCTTTAATTTTGCTCACATAGTTACCTTGCTCGTCGATATCGCCAGTTTTGGAGAGCAAGTTCTCGCCAGGTATGCGGTATTGGTCGAACATCACAAAGCTGAAAAAATTTCACACAAGAAAAAAAAAATACTAAGAAATAAAAAGAAAAAATACATATCTAATCCCGCACTCACCCATTATCGATGCCGTTCAAGCCAATCTTCTCGCCCAAATCGCCAACTGTCACGCCAGGGTACGGCAGGAGCGTACGTTCACTGCGTATGGGCACGAGAAACGCATTTAGCCCTTGATATGTGTCGTCGGGCACATACAGCTGTGCGTAAACGATCGCATGTGTGCAAGTTTTACCCAAATTGCCAACCCAGCACTTGGCCGCCTCGAAGTCGGGTGTGTGAATGATAAACTCACGCGTCTTCGGGTCGTAGGAGGCGCGCGTGCGCATACCGCGCGCATTAGTGCCGTGAGAAATCTCAGTAAGCGCAAAGGCGCCCAAGATTTCATTCCTAGCGATTTTCGCGGCATACTTGGCCAAGCGTTCAGTGCCCAGCGAGAGTATGGTGCTCGGAAACATGCCATTCGAGAGTGAGTACTTAACGGACAAGCTGAATTCATATGAAAACATGCTTTGTGCCATGGCAAGCGACAGGTGCGGTGCGGATACGTACTGCAAGAATTACAATCAAAGTTAGATATGGTATGAACAGTTTTTGTTTAAAAACTAATTGATTACTAACATCACTTAATCCATAGAACTGTTGTTCCCAAAGCAATTGACAGCGACGATTAGCCAACTCACGTTGACGGTCCAGTGATGGAGTTTCTATGCCATGTTGAAAGTCAGGATGTTTTTCCATAAACTGCCAAATGCGATGCTAAATGAAATAAAAAGAAAAAGCTAATTAAAAATTGCGACGGATGGTTGGTGAGTAAAAAAGCGATTATGTTAAAACACTACTATTAGTTAGGTATCTCGTACCCTTCGTTGGTTAAAGATATCTAATATACAAATGACCGATAACTTCACTATTGAAACTTATGATTCAGTTGCTATTGAAGAATTTAACAATTTTTTTTTTAATTGTAGGTAGTACTCAATAAACATTGTGGCGATCGTTCGAAAATGACCTTCGATATCCAATATGCATATCGAACTGAGAACGAACTCATAACCTACCTTAGTTTTCCAACGATCATAGTATATTGGAAACACACTCAATATGGGTTCGAAAAAAATGGCAACTATAGTAACAAGATAGAAAGTAAAATCAAGCTCATTCTCAAAGGGATATATAAGACAATCACTCTCTCTCTTTAAAATTTCAATTCGATAATGGGCTGGATTTCGAATTCATAACGAAAGAAAAACACATTGGATAACGAAGGTTCCGTTTTGCTGAAGAATGGCCTAGTTCTCGAATCTAATACTAACCTATGCCACATTCGTTATCGAAGGTGAGACTCGAAAAGAGGCTTCGTTTTCCTATCATTTTCGAATTGTTAGCCAAGCACAATCTTTATTGGGTTATTACTATTACTAGGTATGTATTTGCAAAGATAAAAAATATGGGTAAAGATATGAACATATGCATAGTACATCGAACCTTATCAAATAATCTTGTTTTAGCCTTTCATAGGTTCATTCTATATCAGTGAATAAGTTGCCGCTTTACAACCTTTGATTGAAACCAAAATGGAAGAGGTGCAGTTGCTTCATATAAAAAAGACAATTTCCCAGAAAAAAATTTTGCATATACATACATATGTACATACATATTTTAGGTCTAATAAAATTAAGCATAGATTTTGAAACTACGCGTTTATTTGTTGTTGTTGTTGTAGCGGCTACAACAACCCCGCCCAGATCGGTTAATATCTCAGTCATTGTCGTCAAGCTCAACTAACGGAAGCCCCAAGAAGCGTGCAGCCTCAATGGGGTCAGCCCACAGGCACAAAGGCGTTAGCTCAGTCGGATTTTCCGGGCATACGAAGAGCTGTTTCGAGTCGTGGGGTATATCTCCGCATTCCGGGACACTCATTTGGCACATCTGCATCTAATCTGCTCAGTTATGAGTTTAACCTGCTGCAGATGGAGCTCCGTCACAGGTCTGGAGTCTACATAACTCGAGACTGACTCCTTGTGAATGCCGTTCAGGGCGTGTCGATAGGCTGACGGGTCCGGAGGTTGCTTAATGAACCTCTGGAAGCAAGTGTCTGTTCGGGTGTCCACGTCTGTGGCTCCCCACTAGTAATTGCTTGCCCAGCATTGTGTTGGCCTCCTTTATGGGGAGCATTTTCGCCTCGTCGTGCAGGTGGTGTTCTGGCGACATCAGAAGACATCCAGTCGCTGTCCGAAGTGGAGTGTTTTGAGTCGAAAAATGTCAGCGAGTGAGGTTTGCTTAAAAACATGCTTGCATCTCTTCAGGTTATAACCTCCCAATAAATTTTTAGCATGAGGAAGACATTTAATGATTCGTCACTGATTGTGCCTCATTCCTGTTATCTCTTTCCGCATAGTTTTAAAAGTTACTGCATCTAATGGTTCAAGCACTCAGGGGGCTTAGACTTCTGCCTCTCTGGTTAAGCTGTTTGCTACCTCGTTTCCCTCTGTTCTCTTAGGGCCTGTTTTTCAAAGCTGCTGTGTTGCAAGGGCTGCTAAGTTTCTCATTGCACTTAAATCGACGGCTGAGAGTGGAAGATCGACCTACCTCAGAACATGGCTCAAGAACACCCTACTTCCGAAGTTGATCAAGCGAAGCCCTATCTCAGCAAATGGTTCAAAAACGCGCTATCTCAGCTGCCAATGTATTGAATTTACACTGATATAGGGGGATTTTTTAGCCATTTGCTGGGATAGGCCGTTCTTTAACCAACTTCTGAGATAGGGCGTTCTTCAGCCGAACTCTGAAATAGACCGCTCTTGAAACATTTTCTCCAGCCTCTAAAGATAAGTGGGGGTTAGAAAGCTCTCTCTACGGTAGTTTTAATGTAAATAAATCACATAAACTGGTAGCGTAGATCTTCTCTTGACAAATGCTGTCCATAGGCAGTAAAAGCCTAGAACCCGGCCAAAGATACCTTCTCCTATGCCTCCTGGAGCTTCAGAGGCGTCTACAGAGTTATTGTTGTTGCAACAGCATATCAATTCCCCAAAGAGTTTTTGGGGAACGACGCTGGAGTGACAGTCCTTGGCCAGAGATACAAATTTGGGTTGTTTCGGTAACGTAGAACCGACTATCGTCATTAAATAGTGCTTGCCTGGATGTGTGCGTTTTGCCCGGTAATGAAAGAAGAAGTTAAAGTTTGGCGGAAGATATTCCCACCGTGGCTGTTGTAGCTACCACCTGCCCATGGGGAGTACTATCATGGTGTACATACATCTCAAGAGCTTTGGACTGCATCCCCTACTATTAGACTGTTATACGCTTGCACTCTATTAATGGCTTCATATCTCTAGATCCGTAGTCGCATCAACTCCAGCCTTTTGCATAAACGTAATCGTTTTTGGAGCCTTAACGTTTTCCCCTTAAATTGTTGTGGCCTTATTCATAAAAAATAAAGTAGGTTTAAATAGCTTTATAAATTGACGTTTTCTTAAATTTTCCAGTTTATAAACCTTCTATAAAGCTACTTTATTTTTTGTGAATAAGGCCATTGATCTTTAGGAATGCAAACAAGCAAAAAAGTAGGTAGATGCCATGCTATATTTATTGCATTTTCAAATATGTATGAGTGATTTTAAAAATGTCATCAACATCAATCCAGTAGCTCGTTTCTGCACCAATTCTCTGCCAAGGCGAATTCATATATAAATTTGCCGCCTTTTTCTCTACTGTTAATGAGTAGTAGAGAATGACGTATATTCTCTACCAGTAGAGAAATAATCGGTAGCGAAGAGTTACAGAAACGAGCTACAGTACTCGTAAGTAAAGTCTTATTATTACAAAGTGATAACCTTAAAGGTCCCTAGGGGGAGATTCTTGACGCATGATTCGAATGTTATTGCGTCAACAAGTGCGGTTGCGATCGGAAAATTGTCACTAACTGATTACATAAGCTCCCCCCCCCCCCCCCCCCCCCCCCCCCCCCCCCCCCCCCCCCCCCCCCCCCCCCNTGTTGCCTACATATTTCCCTACCTTGCGGCTTTACTGGCCTGTATTTATAATTGAGGCTTTTTACGTCGTTTAACAACGTCTCTAATTTTTTATTTTTTATTCAGACGATTAGCTGCTCAGCCAAGTAGCGATAGCCTTGGTGTCACTCGAGAAACGCTGAAAATTAATTGGAGTAATGTCTGACACCCTATATCGCAGAGGAGTGTGCCTCAGCGAGCAGGGATACTTCAGCTGCCAAGAGAGACCCGCGTAACTATGGCCCAGACTCGACCATAGCAAACCAAACATATGTATGTCACCTGTCCATTGAAACCCACTTAGATATGTACCTATATTCTCTCTTTGGTCCGACTTCGTTGAAACAGCACGTTTCTCCGCTTAGCGTTCCCAATATATTAGTATCACTACATACAACTTTCTAATAGTCCAACAGTGTACCGCACTGTTGTGGTTACTTTTTTTTACCCATCCAATCCATCTTTTCCTCCAAACACTTATGACGTTTGAATTTTTTTCAATCGAACTTTAAGCCAACTTAGTATATACATATGTATTGTATACGTATTACCTAAGCACTACAGTTCGAAGTGATCGGAGTATTGAACTCATTCATTGATAAAGATCTTATTGCTGTGCCACTTGTTTGAAATCTATATATATAAAAAGAAGTTACATTTCCTTGGTAATCTTATAACTCAAGAACCGCCGAACCGATTCCCACGGTTTTGCATTCGTTGGAAAGGGCTCGGGCTNGTTACGCATGACTAACAACATGCTGATATTAATTATTCACACCTGTGAGTTTTTTGTCTGTTGGAGATAATGTCAACAACGTATGTACATACAGTATCGGTCATATCTATAGCACGCCATTTCAAAGTGATATTGTGTGCAACTTATGTTTATTTATTTATTTTTGAGAATTTTCAATTAAAATACGATTCTTTCTCTAACAAACCCCATATAAAAACAAGTTTAACAATTTGTAGAAAACTTCAAAAAAGTCATAGTCGGTCATATCTATAGCACGCCATTTCAAAGTGATATTGTGTGCAACTTATGTTTATTTATTTATTTTTGAGAATTTTCAATTAAAATACGATTCTTTCTCTAACAAACCCCATATAAAAACAAGTTTAACAATTTGTAGAAAACTTCAAAAAAGTGCAACAAATTTTCACCTAAATTTCAAACTTTTTTCTCAGAAGTGTTTGAATTTTTCTGAATACACAGTTTTATAGCCCAACCAATTTTAGTCTGATAATGTGCAAGTTTCAAGTTGCTAAAAGTTACCGTTGATTTTTTAGAATTTTTTTGTTGCACTTTTTTGAAGTTTTCTACAAATTGTTAAACTTGGGTTTATATTGGGTTTGTTAGAGAAAGAACTGCATTTTAATTGAAAATTCTTTAAAATAAGTAAATAAACATAAGTGGCACACAATATCACTTTGAAATGGCGTGCTATAGATATGACCGATACTGTATGTAGTAGTATTTAGTGTCCAGCAGGAAATTTCGAGCATAGCGAATGAAAAATATTCTTCTTATATGTATATTGAGGTCATAAAATGGTATCATCTTCAACTTCTTGTCTTTAAGCTAATCTTTAACAGAGAAATACATGTAAAATTTTGAGGAACGAGACAATTTTTGTCCTTTGAAGCTTATGAGTTTCGCGATATATGCTTTATTTACATTATGTACGATTGGTGGTTACAAAAAGTATAGCCTCGTCGGAGGGTCTCAAAATTTGTAAAATTTCGTAGGCCTATGTAATATATGTTTTGTTGTAGGTTTAAATTAAAATTTGTAAGGGATTTTATTTTTTGATTAGTGTCATTATCGCAAATGACCAACAATATTTTTGTTTATATGTACTAGATACATACATACATATGTAAGCTGACTAATAAAATGTTTAAATAATACAAGTAATTTTTAGCAAACAAAAAACCGACTTCAACTCCCATATAAAAAAAAATATATATATATATATCTCATGATCCGCTGATCGGATCTTAACCAGATAGATTAGTACCTTTCCGATGCGAAAAGAATTATCGAAATCGGTTGACGTGGTCCAAAGTTATGCGGTAACATACATAAAAAAAAAAAAAAAAAAAAATATTCCCGACGAACTGATAACCTCCTCCTTTTTTGGAAGTCGGTTAAAAAATGTATGTACGTACATACATACATATGTATGTAACTAAATTGAAGTGTATAACCCATCTCTCATGAACTCTACACACTTCTACCAACACTTTTGTTTAGCACCTCAGTGCTCTGTTATACTACATTTCTTACACTTTGCACTAATGCGAACTTTGCACTGTGACTAAACTAAATTCAGCTCATTAACAAAAAATGATAATGTCAATATCTAAGTTCAAATACATACATACACACGGAATGGTGCACGTAGATTTTACCTGACAAGTCGCTACTAGTACTTTTTTATGCTTTTTACTTTACTTTAATTTTAATTATTTTTTCTCACCTTCAAGCGTATGTGCTCCTCACCCTCCAATACGACGCTCATACGTTTGTAGCAAAATGTTGAAAGTTGACGATATTTTGCCAATGGACCACTCTTGAAGTCTGGAAATATCGTCTTATCTTCAAGTATATTTTCCGATTGCGGCTCAGCTGACTCAATTTCACTGGGATTTTGCAAAAGCGATAAATATTTGGTTAATGCAGCCATTTTTAATTACGTTAAATTTTTTTTCCAGTATGTAAATGTGCATATATGTATGTATATATCGGTATTTCTGAGTTTACTTTCGTATAAATCTAAGTAAAGTGAATTGTGTGTACAACGCCAAGCTTGAATCAAGACTAATTTTGTGGTCACTGCCCGTTGTGAAAGCGAGCCGCTGTGTTTACTTAAGCAGTTCGATTCCTCGCTTCTGTTGAAATATTTGCTCTGAATGAGATTGTGGAATGCAGTGCATATTAGTGAGTGGCGAGTGTAAAATAAATAAAAGAGTGAATTTAAATAAGAAATGTGCGATCAAAACAAAATAAGCGAATGCACTTTTTTATATGTATGTGCATGTGTATGTTATATTATTTAGAAGACCTGATTCCGATGACCTTTGTAGACTTTTTATTATCAATAAAAAATCAGTGAAGCCGTAAATAAAAAAGTGTTTAATTTTCTAACATAAAAAAGTCTTATGAACAGAAAAAAATTTAATAGTTGTAAAGAAAAAATTAGAACCAGAAATTTCGGGTCTGCCAAATTTTACAGCGGAAATGATTACTCCGTTCCTGGGCCTACCGTTAGTTGAGCTTGACGACAACGATTGAAGGACTAGCCGATTTAGGCAGGGATTAGTTATGTCGCTATAACAATAACTCCGGCGGTGACTACATCCAGTGACGAATAAGAGTACTGGCACAGTGAATTTTTCGCAATATATGCAAAGCTTTTTGTTATTATATATTTTCGATAGTTTTTTATAAAAATATACCTCATACTACACCATAAAACATTAAAAATAAAATCACTAAACTTTGTGCAAAACTCGGGAAAACTCTATAAATTTGCATAATAATTTACAACTTTCTATACAAAAAATTCTGAGTATGCAGTTTTATAGCCCATTCAATTTAAGTATAACAAAGCGCAAGTTTGAAGTTGCGCGTTGATTTTTGGCAATTTTTCAAAAAGTAGCAAATTAGTGTTTGTTATTGAATTTTCCTGAGTTTTGTACAAAGTTTAGTGATTTTATTTTTATGTTTTATGGTGTAGTATGAGCTACATTTTTATAAAAAAACTATCGAAAATATATATCTCTAAGTGAAGGGCAAATGATCTAGTGCAGTCTTCTAACAAAACTTCTAGGTGGGGATCAGTGCAAGTACCTAACCGAGCGCTGAAAGAAACCCAAAGGTCTGAAAAGATAAACTGAGAATGTTATTATCAAGCTAGCGGAGGAAAAAATATCAGGCTAAACGAAAAAGAAATGAAAAGTAAGGCAATTAGAATGACAAGAGCGAAAGCACCTCTACTACAGCTGCGACAAAAGGGATCTGGTGTGAAATTTAATTCCACCGCGTGAACCCCGATAGAACAGAGGCCTGTGGGTACACCCACCAGAACCGACAGACCCGGCTTTGAGAGCCTAACTGTATCGACCAAAATGGCCTCGCAGTAGCCCGTACCCTGTTTTTCCGTCATCGTTCGCTGGGCTCTCCTACGTCTCGTCTTTCCCAGAAAAGTCCACATGGTAGTCAGAGTAACTTCCAATCTCTCTTTTCATCAGCCACACAGTTTTCTGTGATGGCCTGTCACATATGCCCGCCTGACAAGTAATATTCCAACTCGACCGATAGTGAATTGGGACGTACGTGAGCCCAGTGCTCTGAGTAGATGTTCACCTCCCTCACAGGAAAACTAAAGCCTCCAGACTCCGAGACCGCCGGGCAACCAGCAAACCTAAGTCTAGCAGCCGCCCTTGCTGCAGCTGTTTTACCTGCTAAATATATCAACTAAAGCTTAACGTTGAGGGTCCGATAGGACAGTGGTCTCTCAGTATACCCCGAAGGATAGAGATACCCCGCCTACTGATTTCTCCAGTGCGTTCCGCCAGAATGGGATTAACTATGGTTTCATAGTGTCAGGAAGTAATCTTGGTAGAAAGGCACATTTTACATCCTAATGAATAAAAAGGGTTTCGTTTTACTAGGACTTACTGCAAGTCCACATTTCGCAGACCATCTAGTCACCAGGTTCAAGTACTCTTGAGTTAAGTCGTAGAGCGTATCTAAAAATTTGCCCGCCACCACCTACACACCAACTCCTCCAGTAGGTCCAGAATCTAGAGAAGAGGGAGAGCTCACCACCTTGGGGCGTGCCCCTTTTTATCTTGCGCTGGACGGTGGCACCACCCCACTCCGTCGCAACAACTCCGTCACCGATTATAAGCTGCAGGAGCCAGAGAAGGTCAGTTTTTACCCCATGACAACCTGACTACTGCCCCCGGTAGTACACTATTAAATACTCATGCGATATATGTGATACCTATGACCGTGGTATTACCGATTGAGGAGATGAGACTGAAAAAAATCATTAATTTTACTTTAAGGACCACCCTAATCAACATACATTCGTTAATTACTTTGTAACACTTTACTAAACACTACAGAATACCAGTCCAGTACATTTTTATGTTTAAGAAACTATTCACTTACTTGTTATTAGTAATTGCCACCATATTGAGAGTTCAATGTTTCCACAACACTTAAGACGTTAAAAGGCAATTTCGTTCGTTTTTTTTTTTTTTTTTATTTATTCAGGCCAACTTTTGTGCAAATTGCGGGCTAACGTAATTCCGACCGCACAACGCTATTTTCGATTTGCAACTATTTTCGAACACAATATCGTTAGCTTTATCAAGAATAGATATAGTTAGCGCACCTTGGAATTCGTGTGCATTTATTTATGTACACACACATGCATAGGTACATTAGACCATACCAGAACAAAAGCTCGCCATTCACGCCTGTATCCAAAGAATTTTTTCAGGGCAATTTGAAAAGAAAAAAATTATAATTTTTTTTTTAAAGGCGAACGTAGGGGTCGCCTTTTCAATTTTTTATCATATCTTCAGCGAGAGCGAGAAGAAAGATTTGACACTATCGTATTTTTTTTTTTGGGTAAACAAAATACTATCTATCTTATTGGAAAATTTTCCCTCAAGATTTCTTTAAGAGAGTCGATTGTCGAAAAAATAAAGCGAGAAAGTTTTAGATAATTTCAGTATTTTCCCAGCAAATATCAATTCTTATCACGCTAACGTACTACCCTCATGACAGTAAATTAAAGCTCACTCACGAGGTTTTCGATTATTCGAGAACTATTTAAAAAAAAAAATTGTTATTGCCGAAAGTATGTGTCACCGAAAAATTTAAATTTAAAAAAGATTATACCTAGGTTCTGCAATTTTTTTCCTGAAATTGCCTTACAAAAATACTTAAAGACTCAGGGGAGCACAGCGAACTTTTTTTTGCTTGCCTATGAGGTGGAACGGAATAATGCACGTAGGTACATATGTACATAAATTTGTACATTAGGGCGGTCCATAATGCGGTTGAAAAATGTTAAGTTCGAATTTTCATGCTACCTGTGTTTTTTTTTTAATTTCTAAATAAAAATATATTTAGAGCTCGCTCAAAGCACTCAAAGTTTTCCAAGTATTTTATATGGGGGAAAAAACAATTCTTCGTAGAATTGGTATAGAATTCTTGAAAATAAATAATTTCGAATAATTCCGGAGACCTCCAATAATAATAATGTTTTTTGTTACCATTTCTTAATATTAATTTTAATATTAACTATTTACTTATAAGTCCCCCCATAATCCCTAAAAAATGTAATGGGGTGCCCGTTTTTATTAAAAATGGTTAAGCAAACAATTGGGTATTATTACTGGCAGCATCCTGAAGCGAAACAGAGTTTTCCGATTAAAACATATTTAGTTAGAAGAATTCTATACCATTTCTGCAAAATACTGTTTTTCCCCATATAAAATATATGGGAAACTTTATATATGACTTAATGTATGTAAACCTGTCAATATTTTTTAATTTTAAAATAAAAAAAAACAGACCCCTGATTTTTGGGTATATAACACTATAGAACAAAAAAAAAACACCTAGAGTGCGTATATAATAGGTTTTATAGCTGTTGGCCACACGAACAATGACTCATGCTCTGATTTACTAGATCAGTTCGTGTTCTCGAGAAAACAGTTTTCATGATCCAAAAATCTGAGTATAGCGCCCAAAACTTTTTTCCACAAATTTCTAAACTTATCGTTTTGCTCGTTCACACTATTTTCAACCACTATAGGCCACAAAACGATGAATTTTCTAAATAATTTTTTTGGATCATGAAAATTATTTTTCTCGAGAATACGAATTGATCTGGTAAAACTGAGTATGAGGCATTGTTTGTGTGGCCAACAGCTATCAAACCTGATATCTGCGCACTCTAGGTGTTTTTAAAAGGTCATTTTTGTTGCACAGTATAACAATCCTAGGGTTGAGAACATTAAAATTCCGACTCTGCTTCTTTTGGACCACCCTAGTGTGTAAACATGCATATGTGCGTGCTTTCATTGCGTTTAGACTATTAAGAACTGATTGGGCTAATCCGTCCAATATCTCGATTAGATAATTCCATTGGATGGTGTAATATTGGTCATATCGATATAAAGAACGCTGATAATGGGTGCCAATGTTCACAGCGAATCACTGCTTCTTTGTGCGTTGTTATTTTCTCGTATCACCGAAACGATAATTATATTCTTTTATAGATTTTATTTTTTTTTTTAATATTTTATGAATGCCAACGTCGATTGGTTTTTTATTATTTTGCACCCTAGACCACAGCAAAATTTTCTTTGTTCTGCTTTATTGCTAAATACTAGGGATATTTTTAGCTTGCACATACATATGTATGACCTGCATTTGCATATTTTGGTGCATTTGTAAATTCATAACGATTAAATGCAAACTGTTGCCATGGTAGCAAGCATAAAATTTGCAAATGCAAATCCAAGATAATTTGCTCAATACTCTGAACAGCCCTACTATTTTCCACTGCATAAACGTAAACGTTTATACATTAAAAAAAAACAATCGCTATATTCAATCAGCCCTTAAAATAATTTAATCACAAGCCCTTTATCGTTAACTTGGCCAGATGTTTGCATGTACGGTCAGTTTTTGTTCAGTACACCAGCGCGTATGCGGTCGTTGATTTATTTATTGCTTGTTGTAAATGTAGTAAAACTTTTGCTTTTTACTTGAGGTTAGTGCGCTTGTTTATTGCTTGCCGATTAAATTACTTCGCTATTGATTAGTTTGTGCTCAATGAATTCCATTTCTTGCGCTCTCTTAATTTGTATTTATTTTAGTTTTTGTTATAGAAGCGTTTGTTTTTGTTTTGTTACTCATAAACTCATAAAGCGCAATACAAAAACAGCTGTTTGGAGCGAAATGTCATTAACAGCTGTTGGGGGTATTCACGAATGAACAAAAAAAAAAAATTAAATTCAAAAACTTTCTAACCGAAAAGCTTTTAAGTACAATTTATGGGAATCATAAACTTTTAAATTGTGATTGTATGTATCAGATGGCTGAACGGAAAAATTATTATCCAGTTGCTACCCTCAAATCATGGTGAAATTATACCAGGTGTAGTAATCCGAAAAAGAATAAAGATTTGACACTATCTTATTTGAAAATTGGCCTTTATAAATTTCGATAAGATAGCCGACCACCTAGAGAGGACGTAGGCCCCTTTTTTCAGGAAGAGGAGGAAAAAAAAGACGGGAGCAAACGGCGAAGCGGATGTAGTAGATAAGATAGGGACTAAAATTAGTTTACGCGTTTTTCTTCGCCGTCAACTATGTTTTTTTTCGCGGTCAACTTTTGAGCTCGGATCTTTATTCGTGTCTTGTGACAATACATATAAATAGAGTAGGCACTGTGACCAGTATAGGTCTATCGAGCTGTCAGCTCATCACAATACCTCAGTTAGCCCTAGAGAGTCAATAAATTTCAGAATAAATGCCGGTGGTAGGGAGTGCATGTGCTCCTCTCTTGGCCATAGATGCCCTATTCGCCTCTCACTTCTACGTGAAAGGGCCCCACACTCCAGTAGCGGGTGCAGTGATGTCTCCTTTGCGGAGTCATAGAAGCGACATAGATCCAGATTTCTAGCTAATCTTAGTTTTATGAGTGGTTTGTATTTTTTTAGATTGTAGCCTAATAGTAAGCTTTCAGCTTGACTAAGACCCATGGTGCTACGCCAGTGCAGTTCCCCAAGTTTGGTGTTTTTCGTTCTGAGCGCTTCCTTTCTCGTGTTAGTTAAGGGAGCGTTCAGATCCTATCGGGGTCGGAGCAGCAGCCATTCTGGCGAACTGGTCGAATTTTAACAGGATTATTCTCAGCCAGGGAATTAAGCTGTTCTTTACACTCCAACACCATTAAGGAATTGACTTCGAAGGGTGGGAGAGCCTTGAGTGCCGCTTGACCATAATTTAAAATGAGGATCCTCTCACTACGATAATTCCTGCGAAGGTTTATCTCCGCACACAGACTGATGGCATAGACTTCTGCTTGGAAGATGCTTGAAAATGTTCCCAGCGGCAGCGAAAGCTTCAGTCTGGGGACATATACGCCTGCTCCATTACCCTAAAAGTCTTAGAGCCATCAGTGTACCACTTTAGTGTAGTCGCGTGGACATGTTTTTAAGTAACAGAGGTACTCCAGGCCGTCTTGATCCAAAGTTTCTTTCCAAAACTATTACCTTATGCATATCAAATTTGGGGAGCAAAAATAATGGGAGCTGGGAGCTAGCCTCCTCGTCCCTGTTCCGAAATGATTATGACCTTACCTTTGATAAAACCCTTTCGCAAAATTTTGGAGTGGTTCGCTTTGCAGCCTGTTCAACTTTAACATGCAGTGGCTCAAGTTTCAGAATTACCTCCAACGCTGCAATCGGGCATGTGTGCATTGCCCCGGTAATGCAAACATACGCCAGATGTTAAATCTTGGTGAGGATCTACCTCACCGTTGACAGAGTAGTTCTGGAAGCCGAAGCCACTGCCCAATCGGTGACTATTGGTCGTACTATCATGGTGTGCATCCATCTTAGGATGCTTGGAGTGCATCCTCAGGATTTTCCCGCTAGACATTTGCCCACCATCATCGCTCTCGTAGCTTTAGAGGCGACCGCCTCAACTTGAGCCCTCCAGAGCAGTTTGGAGTCCCAGATACTTCACTTATATGGCTACCCTATCCAAGGTTATGTGAAGTGGTGAAGGGACAATGGCTGTTTCAGAGGGATTGAGGAGATGGGATGCAGGAGCATACCAAAACGCTGGCGGGAGGTGCAAAAAATCACCCTGGTTTTCCTACTTACTGCCTGCCCCAATGTACTTTCGAAATGTTACAATCGTGAAGGTTTTGCCAGTGCTACCGAACTAAATATGTCGGAGTAGTGGGATTTTGTACGGAAAACACAAGTTCCGCTTTTGTATCCATGCTAAAGCTCGCTTTTTGCACTACTGATACTCTGGTTTCAACAGGGGTCCTCAGCGGAGGGAAGGTGAGTGGAAGTAGGAAAAAGTCTCTTTGCAGTGGAAAAGTTGAATATACGGCAGCTACTCAGATTTCATCACTACACTGCCTGGTTCAAGAAGGAGTAGGTTTTTTTTCGATCTCTGTGGTATCACAAAGGGCCTATTTGCAGGCCTACGTGTGTTGGCCAATTGACCAGCAGCCACGTGAGCCTAACTTATCTTACCTAACCTAAGGGCAATGCAAGTCGGAATCAGCTTTTCGAGTATATCTTGTCTTCTGGGACTAGCATTTTGAACGTGGGAATGAAACCCATATTTGTAACTTCAAAGAAGGCAAGTCCGCTTTCGGACCGAGCTACAAAAGAACACTCTTTGAAGGAACTAAATAGATGCAAAGCAACAAATGAAACTCGGTTATTCATCCGAGGTCAGCCAGGATGGTTAAAAAATAGGCGACCTGAAGCGTAGTGTTGTTAAGTACAAAAAGTGCTCTATTGTGAATTTTTGATGGGAAATTGCTAAGGGAGATTTGTTTCTTTATACACATGATTAATATTTTAAATAAGTTATATATACATCTCAAAATTACTAATTTCCATTGGCTTTTGTATATAAAATCCATTAAACTAATTACATATTTCTTGACAGGGTTGCTTAAGTAGCCAAAAGAAATTTGAATGAAGCTAAAACCATCTGTGTTTGGTTGGGAAGAATTCAGTTTACCTAGGGCACAGATGGCCAAAGTGGCTCCCAGTAGCGTTTTGCACTTAGGAGCCGGCTTGGCACATTTACATAGGTGCTAGATGAGGGGTACCATCAAAAGCCAGCATGAAGGGGGAAGAAGAGCGTATTAAAATTTCTTGTACTCCGACTCGCATTACTAGTATATATGTATGATGCTTTTAATGTATTTTTTTGCACCCCCTTTACCCTGAGAGCTGATTTATTTTTTGCGTAGCACTTGCTGGCTCTTTGACTGCTTTAAGAGCCAAAAATCGGATTGATCAAGTGGTTGATATATGTATTAATATTTTTTTTTGATTAAATAAAATAAAATTAGTTTATTTTCAGTAAATATTTTTTATTTATGCTTATACATTTAATTAACATGAAACATTTTCTTATTTGCTTATAGTACGTAACTTCGAGAATCTGTTTTTTTCATTCCATTCTGATATATGTGTTTTTGTTTGTAGCAGGGACCGTTACCGTTATGATTTTTTTTGTAATAAAAATCATAATTTCAAATTTCGATTCACTGAGTAACTTTAATCGTTATTTTCTGATTTTTATTTCTTCATAATTTTTAATTGCTATTTTATTATTTTTCTTTTGCAATCATCTCTAATCGTTATTTTGTGATTTAAATTTTTTTCAATCAAAAATTATCGATAATTTTTAACCGTTATTATGTGATTTTAATTTTGTGATCATTTTTAATCGTTATTTTGTTATTTTTATGTCACCGATAATTTTTAATCTTTATTTTATGATTTTCATATTTTCGAAAATTGTTGGTCGTTATTATTTAATTTTAATTTTGTTGATCAACTCCAATATGTAGTTATTTTGTGATTTAAATTTTTTCGTTCACAAATAATCGTTTTTTTTTTTATTTTAATTTTTTCGGTAATTTTTAACCATTATAATAGAGACTGCGCTTTTATAACCGATTTAAATATTTTATGATTTAAAAAATTAAATCTGAAAATAACGTTTATAATATGATCGAAATACGATGGAAAATGATCGTAAAAACACAAATGAAAAAAATAACGCGATTTGCGTTGATTTTAAAATGAAATTACTTCATAATAATAATAACGATTATTTTCGGTCCCCGGTATGTAGTGTTAATGTTTATTAGAAAATTGGGCGAACAATTTTGGATTTAGCGCGAAGCATTTTTCTCTAAACGGAGTATATTATATTATGATTATTTGTTGTTTTTTTTTTTTTTAATATGTATGCATGTATGTGCATTTGTGTATTTATGTATGCATAATATGTGTATTCGTTTGTAAAAATTTGCATGGATATATTTATGCACGTATGTACATATGCAAATATTTAACAAAGTGTATATATGTAAGTATATATTTTAAAAATTTTGCCCATTACTAGTATAAACTCATGTGTGATTTTGTATACTTTTCATAACGAAATGGGTGTTCAAAATGTTTTGGTTTTATAGTGCAAAAGCATAATGCACAGTGTGCTTTTTTCAGCAAACGTCTACTTTCAAAGAACCTTTAGCAAAAATTTACTTATACTTTTTATTTTAATTCTCGAAATTTTTATTTTTTTCTAAATAAAAGGTAACAAGTAGTAGGTATACAAGATCAGGAGTACTTACGCACTAAGTTTTGGTTATAGAATTAGAATTTCTTTTAGCAAATCAGAGGCCAACACTTACCATCTTAAACGCTACACGTAAAATACTGCTAATACTTTGTGTTCAGTGAAGGGTTAACAGATTTTAACCACATACATACTTACTACACATATGCACATACGTAATGTTCATGTATGTATGCACATTGTACATATACTATATCCGTTGTTGCACTTTGCAAATATTTTTTTGTTTATATAAAAAGCTAAAAAATTTCGCATTTTTTCCTTTTATATATGTATGTTTTATTTATGTACCTGCAAATACATACATATGTACATATGCTGGTAAAATTTCTAATAAACTACAATTTTGTAGGTAGGTACTTAAAAAATAAGTTTGCTAAATATTTTCAAATATATTTATTTGCTTTGCACATAGGCGGTTTGCATTTGATATATACACATGCATATGGGTTGTTTGCAGTGTGTTCTTATTTCCTATAATTCTTCTAAACTGTTTCAGCCGTTTGTGTTAATTGACACAAAATAAATATTAACACTTTACAAGTATTTTTGCATGCAATGATGTATGTACATAAGTATATGTGTGTTCGTACAGATATATACATACATACATACATGCAGATGTACATATTTCATATTTTTATATTAGTTTCATTACAACCATTTTTCTCGGGGAGTGCGGTAAAAAGCGTTGCCTATCGAAAAATTTCCTATCGCCTAAAAGCTGCTTTTTACGCGCATTGTTGTAGAATTGTATGTGCCCATTTGGAAAGTCTGTTTCGGTAAAAAAAAAAAATGTTCGAAAAATATTAAAATTTAAAACAACAAAAAAAACATTTTTTAGAAAGTTTTGAGATTTCCTTAATGTTCCAAAAAATTGTCCAAATATTTTTAAATTTAAAACAAGAAAAGAACATTTTTTTAGAATCTTTTGGGATTTTTTAAAGACAGTTTTTGCATTTTTTATACATTTTTGGAATTAATTTTGCAAAATATGTAGTTCTAAAATTAATTTTCCAAAAAGGTATTCCAAAAATTTTAAAAGTTAAAACAAAACAAGAATTTTAGGAGGTTTTGGGATTTTTTTAAAGAAATATTTAGCATTTTTTGTAAATGTAGTTCTTAAATAAAATTTTTAATTGGAACATTTTTTATAAATTAACTCTAAAATATTTCATTTACTTTTTTTTAATTATTAGATTTTTTACGAATTATGTATATCGCTCTAAAATTAATTTCCAAAAAAAAAGAAATTTTAATTGCATTTTTTCTATCTAAAAGATTTTAGATTTTTTTTATTGGTTTATTGTACACACACAACTGACTGACTTCCAGGTAGATTAAGCTCTAAGAGTTGGCAGCAACGACTTAAAACTGAATTGAATAACCTTTTGGCTAGTAGCTTGTTTCCACGCAGCTTTGACTCACACAAGACAGATCCTTTCCACAAATCGTAGGTGAATAGGGTTTTAAAATTTCAAATCAATCAAACCAAAATATTTTGTTTTAGTTCAGACACTGTTCTGTTTGAGGTACATAGTATAATGCATTGCTACTACCTCTAAAAATTGCATGGAAGTCTTGAAATAGGCCATATTGTACACTCTATTTTAATAACCACATTTGTTATATAAAATAGTACATATGTAGGTATGTATAATGGCTCCTATGACGACAGCGAGCGGGAAATGATTAAAAAAAAAAAGTTTTTTCTTGACTGAAATTAATTTTAAAGACGCTTGACTTGTATGACAGACCCACTGAGAGCCAACTAAACAGTGTTTCAAAACTATACCTACAATAGGTTTAGACAACTAAGCACTCACTCAAAAATTAGTTTAAGGAAAGTAGCAAGTATCACAAAGGGTTATTGTATTCTATAGAGCAAACCGAGAACTGTTTAATATTACCCCAGTTGGCATTTTGATATGGTTTGAACTCCACTGCATTTGGAATGCGCCAAATGAAGATGCTTGCGATATGGCCAGATGAAATGCAGGTTCACAATCAGCCACTTTGGGATCCCTTAGGTTACTTGGGGCACTAAAGGCCCGAGGAGATATTGAGATGAGCTAAGAGGGCACAAGAAAACCATGGTCATAGTGCGCATTTTCTAAAGTATCCATATATTAATGTTTATACATCTGATTTCTAAACAAACCCAGTTAAATTTGTGCTTCGATAATAAACCGGAAAGCTTAATTTCATTTTCAATCACATGATACCATTCGTTGTGAAAACAGGCTATAAACTTTTTCATTATAAAAGACGAATTTTACTTGAAATTTTTTTGAATTCCCTAATACGTGTTAATTGACATGGAAACAGGGTATAAGCATCTTCTTCATCTTATTTAAATTTAGTTTTCAATATTATTTGATATGTATTTGCTTAAGCAAGGCTGCTGAAATACGTACTATATATTGTCATACATACATATATGTAACTATATTTGCGGTGAAAACATGTTATAAACTCGTTTTTTTGTGAATCGCGCTCTTTACATAATATAAACAAAAAAAAATTTATGATGAACCCATCGGAATAACGGTATGCAATCATATAATTTAAAGCATACATGAAAACACGTTATAATATTTTTTTTTTTTATAAAATCAAATTTCAGATAAGTTTAAAGAACATAGCACCTTTTTAGAGCAGTTCTGAACTGCGATGTATGTACAATAATATAATTGAGTGCGGCGTGGAAACAAGCACTAACTGCCTTTCTTTATTTATTAAAAACTCATCAGAATGAAGCATCAAAAGGAAAAGTCGGACATTTCTAATACCATTAGATATGCTGTTTATCGATAACTTTTCCTAATTTTATTTTCAGTGCATATGTATGTACATATTTAGTTAAAAGATTAATCGGTTACACTTGCAAAAAATGTTTGGCTTAATTCGCTTACCGATAAGGTTAAAAAACGTGTTACAATTCCAATAAAGCCTTTAAACTTTTGTTATTGTTTTGTATTAGCACTCTTGCATGTGTGGTTTTTGTAAGTTCTTCAAAAATACATATGTGTTTGCTGGTGTGTTTCATTTTATTGCACATTCGATTCGGCTGTTAATGATAATGATTCTTTTGCTTACGGTAAACAATTATTGTTTGTTTAGTTATTGATTAATCCCCGAAATATTGTTACCAATTAATCGAGCATAATTTTTTTTATCGATTTAACAATATAACTTTTTGTTGACGATACATCTTTTTGTTATCGATTAATCGAGCATAATTTCTTATCGATTTAACAATATACCTAACTTTTTTCACGATAAATTCTTTTGTTGCCGATTAATCATTATCCGATAAATATTTTTGTTATCGCTTCATTGATATTTAATAAATCCTGTTGTTGTCGATTTATCGATAACGATTTTTAAAACAAATTTCAAGCATTCAGCACTAAATTTTGGCTTACTTTTTTCTTATTCTACTTTTGATTTATTTTTGTGTTCGTTATATTGTTAATACCTAGAAAATAAAATAAAGCAAAATATATATTTTCTTAAAATTGCAATTTTTCTCAACCTCACTTTCATATGGGCGCAAATATTTCACTATTATTCATGCTTTAGCTAAAAACTTAATTATTCTGCTATACTTTAAAAATCCGCTTTAAAATCAATCTACCCACGTTTTTTGTTTTTTTTTTCAATTTAAATTATAGCGTCTATTTAAATTTTATTAAACTAGTAAATATTTTCCTTATAAGCATTTGAAATTATATAAAACTACTGCATATTTATAATTAAATCAAAAATTATAGTTAATTGTGTACTGATTTGCGCTACACACACACACACACACTCATTATTTCAGCTCAATTCAATGTCTTCTCCATTAGCGAATCGACGGCAACAATGCCATGTTCATGCATTTCCTCACCGTTATGTTGTTGCTGTTGCCGCAGCTTTCCCGCTGCCCCCACTCCCTGCCTACCGTTCATCGTCAGCACTGCTGCTGCACCGCTACTACAGGCCGCACCATTATTCGCTTCATATCATCGACTCTGACACGAACTGGCAGCCGACGATGATGAGAAACCCGATTGCAAACTAGTCATGGAACCTTTGTAGTTGGCCGAACTCAGTACTTCGTAGAAGAAGTTCAATTGTGCGGGGCCCTCGGAACCGCATGACGGGCTGAACCATTGCATTATATAACTGTGGGTGTGATGCATTACATGGGAACCCTAAAAAAACGGGATAAAGAAGTAAAAATATGAGGAGAACTCATTCTATCAACACCGGCAACCACACTCACCTGCACGCTTTCGCGGTGGCGACAAATGAGCGTTGGTTCCTCCTTGAAGTAGTGTTCGCCCTCGACGAAATCACTCATATCAAATATAGAAACGGCGGTATCTAGAAACGGTAACCGAAATACTTAAGGTAACTGCATAGTCTTTAAATGCCATTGTAGGCACTCACCAGTTTTTGACGGCAGCTCTTTCGTTGCACGATACAATGTAAAGTGTAGATCACTGCGTGTCACATCGAAATCCCAGGTGAGTACACTTTTTGGATCCTGATTTGGTATGATCACTTCATGTATGTAACCAGTACGCAATTCTACTGTTTTATAGAGACTACGATGTTCGTGCATCAAGGCGCCAGCCTCTTGTGGTTTCTTTTCCTCCTCATCCGCGTCGTCCTCTTCCAATGAATTCATTTTATAGAGCGTTTTTGGCACAAGACCACCCTCGTGTATGAGTGTCTACATTTGAAAGTAGCGAATAGTATTAGTTGGTAAGTGATTGTTTGTTTGTATTTTCTAAGAGGATTTTAATTATACTTTGCATCACAGACGTGGGACAAAAGTGAAGTGTGGGTGACATTGGATTTTGCTGAGGGAGCTGATAGTTATTTTTGCATACATTATACAAGTGTTAGTTAATGTTTTTCGATATTGAATCGCATTTGTGCAATGAAAAAAACTAACCGATACTTTGCGCATAATTTCACAAGTTTTTAAGAAAATAGCGACGCTCAAGAAATGTAAATTTTCAGAAACATAGGCCGTTTACATTGTGCGGACATCACGTAAAAACGACTGAACCGATTTAAACAAAATTTTAAAGGGGATTGTAGGGAAGTACACAGAGACGGTTGTTCTACACATTTTATTCAAACAATTAGACGATATAGGAAATTATATCTATACCCTAGTGCCAGTTACTGTCGAAATTCGACCCTTTTTCTAGTTTTTTAAGAGCCTTGGAAAGGTTTTCTAACCTAGCACGCCGTCTCCTCTTGCTTTGGAACTAAAACGTGACTAAAATTTTGTATATCTTTGAATGATTTTGGCAGGACTTTTAAATGACAGTTGGTCTATAAATCTCGATATTTGATACATATGCGCTGTATATCAAAAACACCAAAATCCGACCACTTAACAGATTTCAATAACTCGGCCCATTTCGATAAATATCGATAACTGTGCATTTTTAGGGGTCGATTAATTTCGATAAATCGATAAACTTTGGAGACCTCTAAATTTTGATAACTCGTTGACACGATAAAATTCGATAAGCAGTGATAATTCGATAAGCTTATAAAACCCTTGACCGATAACTGGATATATTTAGAAAATTATAAGAGCTTCGATTCGGTAAATCGGCAAAGTTTAGTAGATCGATAAATACTGATAACTCAATAAGTTGAAAAAACTCGATGCATTACGATAACTCGAAAATCTCCTTTAACTCTATAAATAATAATAATTCAATAAAAGTCGTTAAATTGATAAATTTCATTCACTTGACCAATTAATTATAATTATAAATAATTATCCGTAAATTTCGACAACAAAGTTTCTGGCCGTATTTCTTTATACATTCCGGATAATCCCATTTCACAGCCGGATAAACAGAATGAGTTTAAAATATACGTTAACGTATCATCAGGAACGTTCTAAGGAATATGTAAGTAAACAAAAAAGTTTATTCCAAACATTCAGAATGAATAAAGAAATGCAGCCTCGGTGTCTATAAATTTCGGCAACTCAATAAACCTGTTCAACTTTGACGATTCGATAAATGTCGGTAACTTGATAACTTTCGACGAGTCTGACCTTTCATAGATGGAGAGTTTTTGGGTACATTTTTGAAAAAAAAAAAAATCTCTCTTTCTTATAATCTGTGACCTTTCGCCATGTTTCGAGTAGCTTCATAATTCCATCGGTGCAGAACTTCTGTGGTTTATCGGCGAAAAAATTGACCAAGTGATTTTTAGCGGCTCTTCGGTCGGTCAATTTTTTACCATCACGTGCGTTTTGCAGAGACCGAAACACATGGAAGTCAAACGTTGCAAAGTCCGGGCTATACGGTGTAGGCATTCAGACTTCCCAACCAAGTTCCGTTAATTTGTTCGGAGACATCAAAGAGGTGTGTGGCCTAGCATTGTCATGATGGAACATAACTCCTTTCCCGTTGGCCAATTCTGGTCGCTCCTTCCTGATTGCTTCGTTCAAACAGTCGAGATGTGCACAGTAGAGCACCTCAGTGATCGTTTCGCCATATTGTAGCAGTTCGTAATGGACAATAATTGCCCTCCAATCACACTAAACACTGAACATAACATTGTTTGCCGTCAATCCAAGCTTTGAAGTCGTTTGGGGAGGGTTATCGGTCTTTGACCATTAATTATCGCTTTCGTTATCTATTCTCGTTTTTAATATATTTTTCATCGCATGTAATAATTCGTTTCAAAACTGGTTCGATTTGATTGCGCTTCAGCAGCATTTCACTGATGATCAATCAAATTTCTTTGCGCTAATTCATGTGGCACCCAAAGATCCAACTTCTTTGCTCATGTGGTTCATGTTTAGTGCCTCCGCTATCTCCCGACAGCTTGCATACCGGTATTGCCCGACAATTGTATTTTCTGTTGACTGGCCTGAAAACTCTGGTTTTCTTTGGGAGACTTCCAATAACAATACCCACTTGTTCATTTAACCATTTTTTATTACTATAAATTCTATACCTTTTCTGCGAAAAATATTTTTTTCCATAAAATACGTGGACAAATTAGAGCGCTTTGAGCGACCTCTAAATATTTTTTATTTCAAAAAAAAAAAAAATATAGAGGTATATTTTTTCGGTATAGAACAGTTCTAGGGCGTGAGAGCATACAAATTTCGGTCTTACTTTTTAACATGCATTTTTGGACCACCCTAGTGTACNACTCTAAATATTTTTTATTTAAAAAAAAAAAAAATATGGAGGTATATTTTTTCGGTATAGAACAGTTGTAGGGCGTGAGAGCATAAAAATTTCGGTCTTACTTTTTAACATGCATTTTTGGACCACCCTAGTGTACATACATCTAATCTAACTTTGATGCGGGAGACAACCCATCGATCAACATTTTTAACAAATCCAACTAAAGGTGCCAAACGAGGATATTTGCATTGATGGGTGTCAACCCTAAAAATGCTATCAAAGAGCTTCAGAAAGGTAAAACTTGTCTCAAACCGCACAAATCTAAAGATTTTTGATAAAAAACAAAAACAAATGTCCAACCTAAGCTTTAAGTAAAGCTTTGTGATNCACAAATCCAACTAAAGTTGCCAAGCGAGGATATTTGCATTGATGGGTGTCAACCCTAAAAATGCTATCAAAGAGCTTCAGAAAGGTAAAACTTGTCTCAAACCGCACAAACCTAAAGATTTTTGATAAAAAAACAAAAACAAATGTCCAACCTAAGCTTTAAGTAAAGCTTTGTGATATTAGTAGGTCAATGAACGGTGGCCGATTACTGTTTTCTCGCTGCTTTGAAGCAAAGGAAATTACGTAGAAATGTTGGAGGCGATCGTACAAAGTACAGACAGAAAACACTACTTGACATACATACATACTTAGTATTTGAATAATCTATGTTTTGAATAACATTGTGAAAGCACATGAGCCGACAAATACTTGATTTACATGATGAAAAAAATAAATTGCGTGCACTGCCACTGAATATGTATACATTAAAGACGAGAAAACAAAGTGTAACGACTATGACTGGACAAATGAATGGTGGTGAAGCTTACGAAAAACATAAAAGCTAAGTAATAGCGCCTCTTACACAATCGCAATTAGGAAAAAAGCAATGCGTAAAATACTTTTGATTAATTTGTTCCACATACGGAATGTAGACCAGTGAAGACTGAATTTTGTTAAGGACAAAATTTCATTTCGGAGGCATTTAGAAAAAATAGAATTTCAGATTAGGTTTAACAAAAGGATAAATTACTGTAAACTTACAAACAAACTAATCGGTTTACGATATAAGCAATTGAGTTTATTTACAGTACCTTACGAAATGATTGTGACCTACCTTACATGGGCCACCCAAAAAGTCTGGTGTAATGTCCGAATCGATGTATTGCTCCAGGCCGTCCTTCATGTGCAAGCAGTCGGGACCGCCGTAGAATAGGAATTTTGAGCGCGTATTTTCATCTGTGACAAAGCGTAAGAAACGTAAAGTAGTCGTACCCACACACCTTTAACCCAATCAGTACTCACGTATAAATGCGCTGACTATAGTCCAGGCGATGGGAAAGACGCGCGGCGCACGCACCACCAGCACACGGCCCATTGTTTCGGGATAATTGCTTTCGACTGTTTCGATGATATTGAGTAGTGCTTTCACGCCCGGCCGCCACAGATGACGCATGGAAAGTCCCTCTAAATCTACAAGCAAACACCAACTCAACACTGGTTGACCCAAGCGCTCAGCAGATTCCTTGATACGCTGCATACCCTCCTCACAAATGTGTAGCGTCTGTAAAGAATTTTTTTTTTTTTTTGCTCTCAGCAAGATTTCTACAGCCTTCAATCTGTTCACAAACTCACGAGTTTCAACAGCCCCTCGGTACCAATGGACTTTAGCAAGCCTTTAACATCCATATGACCCAGTCGTAGTATGTATATCGGTCGTCCATCCTTGTCGTGATGATGCCAAGCGCCCGGAAAGTGATTCACCACCACAGCTGGCGCTTTGTATTCCTTAACCAACGAGTCGATGTTGTGCTCCTTGCGCCATTTCAACGAATCTTTGAGCATTGTGAACGCTTGATTCACATGCCAATCGCGTGCTGTCAAAAAACGCAGTATGGTCTGATAACTTGGCATTTGTTCCAAGTCTTCGTCACCATCCAGCATTTTTCGCAGCTCCAACAATTTCGATGCCTGCATTGGCGTTAGTGTACCCAAATTTTTCGCTATAAAGTCACCATCGAGCAGCACATCGTGTGAGGAGCGTCGTCGATCGCCATCTTTTAGTTTTTGTGCGGTTTCATCGCTAGCCTCACGCGTTGTCGGCGAACAGGGTGCATCGACTGGCGGCACCCAACGTTCCACTTCGGTGACACCCTGCTCTTTCAATTCATTTATGAAATACTCAATGATTTCCTTGCCTTTTAAAGTGGTTTGTGTATATTGTTTCATGCCCATCTTCTCCATGGAGTGTTCGAAACCGAAAAAGTTTTTAATATCCAATGTGGCTGTTTGGTCGAAGCATGTCCAATCGGGATTGTCGGGATGCGCATAGTAACGGCAACGTTCGAAAATTTCAATGCGCGATGAGAAACTCTCATTCACAGCCTCAATATTGAGTGTCCGATTGGCCAGATCGAGGTAGTTGTGTTGCAAGAAGTAAACAGAGTCCACACCTATCAACTTTTTGAAAATGTATGGCGCATCGACAGCCAATTTGCAACGACGAGTCGTATTGCGTTTCGCGCCATTCTCCAATACCTCATCCTTGATCAACTCGCAGTCGAGTACGATGGGCATTTGTGGGCATTTTGGAAAGCGACATTCGTAGGCCTGAAAAGATATAATGAAGGAGGGATAGATTAGTACTTAAGCATAGTGTTAGAGCGATTGGTATAGGGATAAAATTGGTAGTAAAAAAGAAGTAAAGCCGAAATCGTAATGCTGGGACTGTTCTATAACGAAAATAATTAAATTATTTTGAGATCAAAAAATATTTAGAGCTCCCTCAAAGTGCTTATAGATTTCCATGTATCTTATACATGGGAAAGAAACAAATTTTCCCAGAAATGGTATAAAACTCTTGAAAATCAATATTTTTCAATCTGAAAACTTGATATCTCTTAAGGAGACTTTCAATATCCAATTGCTTATTTAACCAGTTTTTGTTATTAACTATTTTTGTAGGTACCCTAAAGCCCCAAAAATGCAATGGGGTGACCCATAAAAGTCGCTAGTTTTAAAACGTGTGTAAAATAAACAATTGGATATTATTACTGGAAGTTTCCTGAAGAAAATCAGAGTTCTCCGATCGAAAAATATTGATGTTCAAGAATTCTATACCATTCCACGAAAAATGTTTTTTTCCCATATAAAATATATACATGTACATGGAAAACTTTGAGCGGTTTGAGCGACCTCTAAATATTTTTTGATTTCAAAATAAAAAAGGGGTATATATTTTCAATTTAGATTAATCCTAGGGGTTGAGAGCATTACAATTTTGACTTTACTTTTTCACATGCATTTTAGGACAACCACAATGTACATACATACATTTCATATCATTATTTACATGTCCAATGATGAAATAACAGTACACATGAGCAATTTGAAAATTATTTAGTTTTTCGAAGGTCTCGGTATAGGAATACCAAGCAGGGAAGCCCATCCTTCAAATAGTGTAACTATGCAGCGTCTTTTAAGCTGAGTTTTTAGTTTTACGGAAGCACCTTGGGAAATATTTTTTATTTTATTTTATTTAAGACCTTGACAATATAACGAAATGCTTCTTAATTTTCAGGTCCTTCGAAACTTCTGAATATTTTCACCCGATTTTTTGTGATTATTTTTATTTATTTTTGATTCTTTGTGTTTTACCCAATAGCTTAGGGAACTTTTTACGGATTTTTCTTTGTTTTTTTCAGGGATTTTCACGATTCTTCGAGCTATTATTTTCGTGACTTTTGGTAAATTTTCGGAGTTTGGGAACTATTTCAGGACTTCACGAGATTGCTATTATATACAGTATTGAGTACAGTTAAAAACACACAGGGGTACGATGTCCTTGCTATTAAGTAAATACCATTTTCCCCTTAATGCTTAAATTTTTTGCTTCATGCCTCTATTTCAATGCTACAACATTTCCAAAAATATGTTTGTCAACTCTGCTTTTCTCTCTGCGAAATCGACGCAGCAGCTGTCACTTGCACATTATCTGTCCTGAAGTTTATAATAAAATTCCACACAATTGATGCGAAGCAATGTTAAGAGCACTTACATAAAATAGTTTTCATATTTGCATGCATACACACATAGTACATACTCGCAGTAAGTGAAGCAAGAAAGCGCCCTGCTGCTTATCCCCATTTGTTATTCATGTCAATTTGCTCTTAAAATAGCAATATTTGTTCTATTGCAAATGTCACCAAGCTGTCTGCGCTTGAACTTGAACTTTTACAACCCTTCGCCCTTTCGCAGAAAAAGAAGACCTTCGTGCGGTTTTGCGCCTATTTTTAGGCAATGCTTACACATGCAGAAGGTTATTTTGCAAAAGAAAAAAGCTAAATTATTTGTGCAACACTTGAGTTTGAAATAATAATGAAACTTGTAGTAAAATAATATTTACATACATACATACATATATATATGTATTTATTTATTCATACCTATGTATGTACATTTATTTGCACAATTGTTTTAATTTGCCGACGCTTATGCATGTTTTTATTTATCTCCCCTCTGTTTTTTCCTTTTACTTTTATTTTTTATTGAACTTGTGGCGAACCAATTTGGCGTTGCTGATTTTTTATTTACGATTTTGAATATTTTCGCCTTGATGATAAGCGAGTGGTGTGAATTGTAAATATTTGGGTTGGCAAAAAATGTTCTCAAAGTAGAGAAAAAGAAAATATTCTTAGAACGCAAATGGCAAACAATAGCGATTTTTAATGGAAATTTTTCCCACAACTGAAAAGGAGAATTACTAATTACTACACTTGCATACAGTCCTTTTCGGTTTTCTAAATTTAAACTTTGCGAAAAACTTAATGATATTGCGGAGCATGTTTTGCGATTAAAAATTCTTGGTAAGGCAATAAAAAGTTTACCAATAAAGTCTTATTAAATTGCCACCACAGTGTTAGCGTTTGCCCATATACATATTTACATACATTCCCAATAGGGAAACGCACTAGTGCCGCGCTAATTCAATTTTGAGTGCCAGCAACTGGCGACTTTAACATGGCTATGCCCTACGAAGTGCCAATTGCATCCTGCTACCTTAATCATTTTATTTTATTAATACAAGTATGTACATACTTGAAAAATAATTTTTAGAATAATGTATGAAGGAGTTTTATATTAGTGCAAAATAATCGAAAATTTACTGGGATTAGAGAATTGTTCATCTTATCGATTAACAGTTAACCTAGAAAAAACTTAGGGTCCTAACGGTTTTTGCGTAATTTTTTTCTAATTCTTTAAACTTTTGTTTAATTATGCGGCATTTGGCTCGTAACTGGTTTTAAACGGGCTCATATGCGCTACCTCCCCTATCTCTGAAATTTAATATCAGCTATAATTGAGGTACATACCATAGGTCACATCACGCTGAACTTTTGTGTGGATACCTTACCCTTTATATGTCATAATTTGTTAGAGTTCTGAATGGATTCTATTCATTGCTATTTTAATAACAAATAAGGAAATTTCCAAATTCAATTCCGTAACTGTGGCAACATTCCAACTTTCCGATGAAATAAATGCAGTTTTAAAAAGTAAAATAAAATGGTATTGTAAAAGTACCAAATTTCGCTGCTATTGCACTGGTGATGACCTAGTTACTATCGGACTGGTTCGTTTTTGGCGATCAAGAACTACTACTGAACTAGAAATTTGATTTACTAGTTCGGGTTTTTTCCTGCAGGGCTATTTCATTAAAATATGCTTACATACATACAACCACACATACATACATATGTATATGTGAGAGCATCACTGCAAGAATGCTCGTCATGTGCTTTTGGTCCATGACAGTGGCCTAAAACCACTAAATATGTAACATTCTGGTTAAACTTTTCATCATCGTCATTCTCTTTTCTTGAAGCCACCACATCTTCAGCTTTCCATTCTACCAATTTGTAGCTTTGCAAACTTCTATTGAAGTTTTGGTTGGCAAATATTAATTTGAACAGGCTGGCGCGCTTAATTTTAATTATTTGGAATCTTCATGGTGTTTTTACCAAATGCCAAAGACGGGAAAAATGCTAACAAATTTCCTTTCGCGTCCCAAATACATTCTTATCAGCGATCGGCCAATATAAGTTTTTACGTGGAGCTGAGACCTAAAATTTAATTTCGAATTGGCCTCGAGCATTTAGAACACCACGAGAAAATACCTCCCATTTGACGCCTATGGGTCCTTTGTCTTCGAGCCGTTTTTCATCCAACATCTAGGAACTCCTGTCTNTATTTTATCGATAAGTCCCTAGAATCCCGAAATTCTCCAAAATCCCAAAATAGTTCCCAGATTTAGTCTCTGTATCTCTCTCTACATCCTTTCCTCTTTAATTACCTTTATTTTAATCTTTCTTTCCCTATCTTCATTTTTACTTTTATCGGCATCCTCATACTCCTCGTTGTCTTTGCTTTTGTGTTTATCATTTTCTTAAACTACATATTCCCCTTCACCTTTGAACTTATATAAGTAAAGTGTTTAAATTTACCTTAGTCTTCATTTTTGCCTTTATATTTACGCATTTTTGTTTTTGTTTTTATTTTTACCTTTGCCTTTATCCTTTTCTTTATATATGTACGTAGTCACCTTTACTTTCATTCTTGTATTTGTATTTTTCTAAGTGTTATTCTTTAACCTTTTATTACCAAATTTTTGATAAATTAATACCATATGCATACACACAAGAAGCACTTGTTTCAGCCCCAACCATTACCGTTGCATCATTTCCGTTGCGCCATTTCCGTGTGCAATTTCCGTTGAATTTGCTAATTTACTCCCAACCAACCAAACCGCCGCTAAAGAAGTTTGACTTCAAAAATTGGTGGACTTGTACCAAACATAGGTTCAATTTAAAAGGCAGGTAATTAATTCCATATCCCGCACCAATTAAGTTTAGACAATTTTTGACGTCAATTAGAAGGAGACTCACACGATCTTAACCATCGTACACTAAAGAGATTTTCGGGAGCACGTAAAAGTTCTTAACGCTCTTTCCAACTTCCCAATTAAACACAAAATTAACAACGATCAAGATACAAAACATCCAACCTGAAGTCCAGCTGGTTATGCATATTCAATGTGAATAGGCCATTAAAATATGAAGCGGAGAAAATAACATTAATTCATGCAGTTACTACACTATCCACAGCTCGTAAAACGTTTCACCCAAAATTGCATGCAACATTTAGTAATTAACATTACACTTTACGGCCAACTAGATACGTGATGGCAATAAAATATTTAAAGTACACGCTGTAGCTATTTCACAGTTGGGCACCAGCGCTTGGCACGTCGTTTAACCTAGAAAGGAAGCAAATGGCACAACAACAGTCAGTTGCCTAAAAGCTAACTACACACTTGACTTTAGGGCCACATAGCATTGAATAAGTACCAACTTCTGTGACTTTTTAACTCGATTCCTTTGAGCTTTTGTATCAAACCAACAATGTAAAAGTAGGCATAACTTAAGGCGTTGTGGCATGTGGCCACGTGCTGCATGGAAAACTATTGAAGTGTTTGCTGTTAAAACAGCTGCAAATCGACCAAACAAGCAGGTGAAATTCAGCTTACATTAAAAGGAAAAGAAAAAAA